TCACAGCTGTGGTGCAGCCTAAATATGGACACTAGAGCCGGCCGAACCCCATTTCTAATCCACTTTGGAATTTTTTTTTTTATGTAAAAGAGACCTTTTTAAACGTAAAAGAGACCTTCCTTTGCAACAGATAAGCAATTCTCTTGGTGCTTTTTCATTATTTCTGGGACTATAACTTTAAAAGAAGAATTGGAGTTTTATTGTAATTTGAACAACTCGCAAAAAGCTGCAAGATAAGGAGAATACAAAAAAGATATAAAAGTTACTTATGTTGAAAGGGGAAGATTTACTTGTTATAAGTTTAATTTTACAAAACTCCATCTGTATTCATTGGATTTGATTTTTCTGTGGGAAAACTTTTTCTTTTTATGTGATATGCCTGTTAATTGGCTGGATTTTCAAAACAAAAGAAGATAGTAATTTGAGCTTGGACTCCAATCAATGTTTGATGAATTAGGAGCTAAATTCAAATCCCTTGAAAAGAAGATAGAGGAAAGACTGGATAAGATGGTTAATTTTGAAATGAAGGTAGAGATTGACTTGAATGTGGATTTGGAGTTCAAAAAAATGCTGGATTATGATGGTGGTATGAACAAAGATGTGGTGGATCCAAAAATGGATTTAAAAGTGCCAAAGGATAAGAGTGATATGCAGAAGGATGCTAGAATGTATTTACACATGAAACCAACTAATGTCACTGTGATCAAAGCGAACATACAAATAATGGAAAAGAAGAGTGACTTAGAAAGACTTTTTATCTTGGATTTGCAAAAGAAATGTGTTGAATTGGTGAGGCTGTTCCTGGGAAGAGACAAAGAGAAATTACTGGGGCTGTTTCTGGGAGAAGGCAAGGAGAGAATGATGGGGAATCAACTTGTGGGACACTAAAGGATTAAAGATTAAGCTCTTTAAAAGTAAACAGAAAGTTTACAAAGTGAACTAATTTGATTATGGTTAATATATATATATTGAGGTTTTTGGTAGCTATTAAATGGGATTTTTTTCTGACCAGGATTGAATGATGAGGTTTTAAAGATCTGTATACAAAGGGAGAGAGATTTCACTTGCCTTTTTTTTTTTTAAGAGAAAATAATAAATTGGATTATAAAATGGATCATTTTTGACTAAGGTTAAAAGATCTATGGAATTTTTGTTCCTATATATGATAACTGCAGTAAGGCTTTTTATATGTACAGAAGTGGAAAGGTATGACATTACCTACAATGGAAGAATGGATGGTGAACCTGATGGAGTTGGCTAAGATCGTGAAATTGATGGCTTTGAAAAGATATTGTGTAATTTTAATGTTAATTGGAAACTGTTTTTTGGACTTTCTGTAGGAAACAGGAAAAAATGAAATTATGTTGTATGGATTTGATTACTAGAAATAATATGGGATTATAGTAATAATGAAAGTTATATTGTAAACTTAGAGCAAGGTACTGATGTATACTGTTACCTATATCTGTTGTGAGGAGGGTTTGAAGTCAGTTCTTTTTCTTTCTTTCATCTTTTTTTTTCTTTGTTTTTTC